GCCAACTATGCTGCAGCTAGGCATTTCTTGACTTTGAAAAGGAAGCATATGTTTTGGACACCTTGTGCTGCTCACTGTGTTAATCTTATGCTTAAAGAAATGGGTACAACATCTTTATTTAGTGGGGTGATTTCAGGAGCTATGTTTGTTGTTGGATTTATTTACAATCACACCATAGTCCTAAGCATGATGAGGTCTTTTACAAAGAAGAGAGAATTAGTGAGACCGGGTATCACTAGATTTGCCATGTCATTTCTCACTCTTCGAAGCCTAGCCAAGCAAAAAAGTGCCTTGAGGACCATGTTTGCTTCAGAGCAATGGAGTCAAAGCAAATGGTCAAAGCATTAGGATGGGAGAAAAGCTGAAAAAATTATTTTGAATTCATCTTTTTGGAGTCAAGTAATTATTGCATTGGAGTGGCTCGCCTTTAGTGAGAGTGCTTCGACTGGTTGATGGTGATGTGAAGCCCGCCATGGGCTACATACATGAGGCAATGACTAGAGCAAGAACTGAAATAAAAGATGTTTTAAAGGATGATGAAAATATGCGAAAGGCTATGCTTGAAATTATTGATAGGAGATAGGATACCCAACTTCACAGGCACCTTCAGCCAGTTATTTTCTAAACTCATCTCTTCACTACAAGCACCCATCCATTAAGTCAGATCGTGTAATAAATGGTGGGTTCTTAGATGTGCTGGAGAGGTTGGTGCTAGACAAAGATATCCAGGATGAGATCCAGAGCCATGAATTGATTAAGTTCAAGTTATCCTTGGGAAACTTTGGGAGACATATTGCCACTCGAAATAGGGACACTACAGATCCAGGTAAAGGGCAAAAGCCCCAAAATAATCTTACTTGTCTCTTACATTATGTATAGTTCCATTGTTTATTTTATACCCTTATTTTTAACTATATTCTAAATTATAAAATATTATACAGCTGCATGATGGGCATTATATGGAAGCGAGACACCAAATCTACAGCGTCTCGTTATTCGAGTGTTGAATCTCATATGTAGCTCATCTGGTTGTGAGCGCAATTAGAGTGCATTTGAGCATGTAAGTCCTTTACTCCTTATTCCTTAATCCTTATTTCTTGAATTTCAATTTTCTAATCTAAAATCTAATTTATCTGATTTCAAATTTCTACCACAGCTCCATAGAAAAAAAAAAAATAGGTTGGAGCAGAAAAAATTGAATGATTTGGTTTATGTGCAGTATAACGAGCGGCTTCGGGAAAGGTATGAAAATCGCACGAAGCTCAACCCTATTCAATTATATGAAGCTGATGGTGATTCCATAAGTGAGTGGACCGTGGATCCAAGACAAGAGAGTGTGTTTGAGGGTGAGGATCTTAAATGGCTTAATGTCGAGCTAGCAACAGGGGTTAATGAAGAAGACCGACCTAACACTATAACACAAAGGAGTAGAGGAGCTGCTGGGTCTAGTCGCACTCGCACATTAGCTTCAGAGGTCGAGGAGGAAGCTGACTCAAAGGAGACCGATGAAGAAGAATACATGGAGACCATCG